TCCCACCCAGTAGTGAAAAAGCTATATGTAAGACAAATGGATACGCAAAGTTTATGTAGATTTTCAACTATAAACATCGTTTTGTGAAAAACAACGGGAAACTTTATTGTCAAAAAAAAATTTTTTTACCAGTATTTTAACCAAGAAACTACTGTTCTGTGTAAATGGAGTCAAACTTGAGAAAAAAAATAAATTGATAATTTGAGAAGTTTAGGCTTAGATGGAACCTGAACCATGTCAGGTTATGCCAGACTAAGTGAAGTTAGATGGCGTCATATTTGAACGATAAATATTTACAACCAAAAATTCCGTTTCCCAATTTTGTTCGTTATTCGATCACGCATGACTAGTTCTCAAAGCTAAAGCAGCATTCCCAAGTATCACTAGAAGATAGGAATGAACAGGTAACTAGGCTTAGCGATGGCTTGTGACTAAATTTTAATTCTGTACGTGGATTACAAGTGTAATCAGATTCCCTGTATGTTTCTTTGTGGGAAAATAGAAATAATCTGTATGTTAAGGATGTAACAAAAGTTGTGCCTCCACATGGGTATTATTTCTTTAAGGTGTAGATAACCGAAGTGGGCTGCGATTTAGATAGTAGGCTGTAGTCACATCACGGTGCTTGATACGCTGTAGCCACTTAAAGGTGCTAGATACGATTTAATACAAAGGGCGGTACTTTTGTTACACCCTGTAGTTGTGTTCTGTACAGCTTACGCGAACACTGTCTGTTTTCTTTTCAATCCATTATGCACTTTTAAGTACTTAAACCTTCTATTAATCTCAGGGTAGATTGTGAAAATACACATGTAAGGAAATACGGCGATAGTAATAAGTTCATGGTTATCACGCTAACGAAGAATTTCACAACTGTACCAGCAGCATTGAATAAGGCCTAACCAGAGCGTCGCCTTGTGCAGCACACAGGCTTACCGACCAGGTCATAGACCCCGAGGCATAGGTGTAACCATCTTTAATCTTTGAACATCCTCCGCCTACAACGGCTACTTTTTTTAAACCGAAAAGCGAGATTAATTGTCACTGTTATAATGCACCTACAGCTGAAAGTGCTGTGTTTAGCGGCATATCACGGTTCGAACCCTGGACCTTCAAGTAAGCTAACCGACTCCCTAATTACCAGGCATTGTCCGTCAAGGAATTAAATGTACTCATGGTGTTATTATTATTATTATTGGATTTGAAGTTTTTATAGACTGCATCTGGTAGAAGTGAACGACGTTACGGTCTGTCTACTAAGATTTAACTCAGAATTTGAAAAGTTATACACTGCTCGTGGCAGATGCAACTTAAAATCCAATTTTCTATTCTGTTTATAAATCCCCCTAATATAATGTGATATTTTAGGACACTTGTTACTACGGAATGCTTGTTTTACATTTTATTGTAACAGTAAATTGAAGCTATAACATGTTTCTCGAACCATAAAAATATAGGGCCTACGAAAATAAAAAATACTTATCAAGTTGTATTTGGTATTTTTATAACCGAAATATTTAAAATATCAAAAATTTGCTTTGAGGGAAAGTATTTTATATGCTAATTAGCCTCAGTCACCTTTTTTTTTACATTTTTCTTTATTTACTGAAATAGAAGACTAGTTTTCAGCTTGACAAGTCGAAAATCATGAACCGTGTTGAAATTGTAAAAGTAAATTTCGTTGGGAAAATGTATATTCTGCTCCTGGAAATTTCTAGAAAAAAACTACTGGTAAGTTTAGGATGACGACAAACTACAGAAAAGGAAGGCTACAAGTAGCGGGGAAGCATCTTTTGTAGAACAGCGGGAATCAAGATGGAGCATTCTGATAAGTGAAAAGGCTAAGAGAGATGATGCTGTCTTTTCTTAGTCTTTTTTTTTTTTTGTTTTTGGTTGAAATAACACAAAAGAAGGCTGGTTTTGTGTATATTCAAAGGCTCGTTGGGTCTTCTTAACTGGATTCATTGTTTGTATTTGTTTGTTTGTTTGTACTTGAACATAAAGCTACACAATGGGCTATCTGTGCTCTGCCCACCACGGGTATCGAAACTTGGATTCTAGCGTTGTAAGTCCGCAGACATACCGCTGTGCCACTGGATTCAGTTTGAAAAACATTACTTTTCCGTAATGAGCCAGAAAGTAGAAAGCAAACTTAAAGGTTATAAATGCTATGAAAAGGGTTACATGCGCTGACTGAAGGTTAAATATTTAATTGGTAAAGACAAGATATATCATTACGTCGAATAGATATTTTGGTGTTATTACTTGTAGTATGGGCTATCCAGTAGCAAAATATGGCGAAAAACAGTGCACAGAAGACTGAACTAGTTAGCCAAATCGCAATATTTGTTGGAGTCGCCATAATGATGACCAAAATTCAATTTTTATGATGCGGTTACTATCTTAGTATGCCAAGTTTTATCAAGATTGGATGATATCTTCACACTTTTCCATCTTCATTTCTGTGAGATCAAAATTCCTGTTACAACGGTATCAAAATCGGCTTGGTAGCGATTTTTGTGAGGTCTGACCCTTTAACGACCATAACAAGGCTAAAATCCAGGGTTCGATTCCCCGATGAATACATATCTTTGCACTAAAAGAACACAAAGAATATAAACGACCATACTACAGAGCTCTCACAAAGAAGTGTGTTAAAATATAATACATATTAATGTTCTTTTTTTTTCCCACTTTTAATGAACAGGTAATGAATTGTTAAGGAACATTAATTCACTGGTAGAAGGTCATGACGTTACTGGGAAAATTACTCTCACGCGCCTGGGATAGCTCGTGACAATTGCATGTGCACGTTGTTGATCAGCCGCAGTCGGAAACGAAGTTAAGCCTCATTCCTGAGAAAAAGGTAACGCTTTTATATCGGTCATAGTTTCCAGAGGGCGCGTGAAAGATGTCCATAGTTACGGTTGTACAAATACTCCCGGAGGTTCGGAAATGTGGAAACAAATCTGCTGCATCACCATCTTTTGACGATAAAACACTACAAACAGGGCAATAATAATGACAAAACACTACAAACAGGGCAACAATGATGCACTCACTGAAATGTCGACGTGGGGACGTGCCCGAAATGTGAATCCGAGAGGTCCTGCTGATTCAAAATCGCGCTTCGTACTTTGGGGCCTTAGGTGCGCTATAAGAGTGGCAGTTAAATCCCAATATTCGGTCAGACAAAAGTAGCCATGACCTGGTGGTGGATGGTGTTTACTAGTTCCCTTCCCCCTCTTGTTTTATCAGTTCAAAATTAAGGACGGCTGTTGCGCAGGTAATTATGTGCAATTTTTTTTTAATTTACCTGAGATAACACCATTCATTCAGGTCTTGTTCCCTTTCTGGTGATTAGGGAATTCGACATGCAATATGAGAGTCGCGGGCTTAAATCCCGTTTTCAAATATGCTCGCCATTTCAACCGTTATACAGTTACGGTCAATCCCATATTCGTTGGTAAAGAGTAGCCCAAGAGTTAGCAGTGGGTGGTGATGACTAGCTGCCTTCCCTCTAGTCTTACACTGCTAAATTAGAGACGGCTAGTGCAGATAGCCCTCGTGTAGCTTTGTGCGAAATTCGAAACAAACCAAATCAATCGGCCATTATAGGAAAATGGTATACTATTGTATAAACACCAAATAATACAGAAATCTCCACTAGGGGGACACTCCCATCCTCTACTTATGGTTGTGCTTTATTTTTATTTTACGTAACGGGAGATAGTACGTTCTTTAGTGTCTGGAGGCCTTAAAACGAGTTTTAACAACCATCATCCCAAGCGAGTTAATCCGGAGAGAAAGGTCATCGCGATATTCTGATACTTTTTTATTTCTTGTCAGTTCTACAGTAGAACTGTAGATGAACTCATAGCTGTTCTCAGAAAATTCCGAAAACAAAAAAAAACACAACAAAACACGTGTGTAACTGTTTAAGATATGTCGTCCTTACCAATGGGATATTCGAATGTATTCTCTTCACCGACGTTAAAACAAAGAACGTGCCGTGCTGATAACGAACTAAAACAATTATATTTGCTTTTGCTCCTATTATCAAGAGTTTGAGTATAATTTTTAATATTACGAATTGTAAGAGTGGTTAATTCGGCAATAAAATGTACTTTTATCTTTTTTCACTCGAGTTTGAATGCAGACAGGTCCTTAAAGTTTCTTAAACTCTTGGACTACTCCAACAAATAGTGGAATTGACTGTTATATTATAAGGCCTCCACGGTTGAAAAGGCGAGCGTGTTTGATGGGACGGGGATTCGAACCGGCGACCCTCAGATTGCGAGTCAAACGCTCTAACCACCTGACCATGCCGAGTCATAATGGCCGAAAAAAGATATAAATACTACAACTTCTTCCTAAACTTGTGAGAGTGTGGTGCGGGAGGGGGGGGTGTGTACATTCCACCGATCATGCTAGTTAATTAGACTGTTTTTCTCCGTTTTTTGTTTTGCACACTTATTTATATACTGAAGGTTTTTGTTTTATGTTTAGAATTTTTCCCATGAGTTTAAGTCTTTTTAGTCGGCCAGATTAAGTTTTGATTTCTTTAGTTTGCCGTCTTGTTCATAATTATAGCTATCTTAGTATTCTGTACTTCAAGTGTCTAATTGACTAATGGTTAGGATTCCCGAATTGTGAATCCAAGGATTCGTGGTTCTCGACCTGTAGCCACAGAAACATGCTCCATAATTTTGGGGATTTATAAGAATTACAGTCAAATCCTAGTATTCAGTTATTTGTAGTCTATCAGTTCAAAATTAAGGACTGCTATAGTACACCACATAGCCCTAGTGTAGCTTTTCTTGATATTCTGAAACAAACGAAATTGTATTTCATACGTTGCACGTAATGAAGATAAACTAACAATTATTTAAGCCGTTTTTATTAATTTTATAACAACGTGTAATCTCAGCTCCATTGCAGACGTTTATCTATCTTAGTATTTGATGATGTTTACTTACAATATATTTCTACTATTCCAGGTAGTTTGGAAGGAGAATGGACACCTTGCATCATCAAATAGAGGCATCTCTAGGACGATCTCATGATTTGATGATGGAAGACCGATATCGTCGTTTGCAGTACGACCCTGTTCGTGGCTTCCCAAACCCTCGATTTCAAGATTCGGAACCTTCTGGCAGAGGGCGGCCTAAAAACACAGAATTCCATTTTCCCTGGAAGAACGCCACAAAACAGGAGCCTGGAAAATAGTGAAATGTCTCCGTATTTCCAATACTACAGAAACAAGTACGGATCTATTTCGGCAATGTCTACTGGCGCGCTCTATGGGCATTTGCGAGGAACACCACACGATTCACTTTATCCTCTCGAGCATGGAAGGAATGTATCTGTTCGAAGTGTAGGTTCGAAAAGCCGTTCAGCAGTTTACCCCTGGGAGTCTTACGCTAACATGCAAGACTCTGTGTATAATGATGTTTCATTAAGGAAAGGAACTTCATTTCAACATCACAGTAACAGCTTACCGACTCTAACCACGTGCATGTGTAAAAAATCAGGTCGAAGTAGCGCGCGTTCTCTGTCTTCATGTTGTAACTGTTATGCGGATTTTGGTTCCTCATCGAGAAGTAAGGTTGGTGTTTCGTCTTCTCCCCGAAGAAAATCTGTTCTTCCAGATAAGGTGGATCTGTACGTTGTCAAAGAAGAGCAAGGTAATAGTTTGGACCATAAGGATAGACGAAACTTGAAAAGTTCCCAGAATGGATTGCATCTGCCAGGAAATGTAAAGATGCAGAAATCCAGAGCATCGTCGAAGAAAAAACAGGATACTTCTCACGATCTCAACCAGCCCAAATCTGTCCAGGCTTTAGATAGAAAAGAGGCCTTCAATTCGATCTCCTCGCGGAAGTCTATTCTCGAATGCGACGTGACAGCTTATGATCTGATTAAAAAGTACATCAAAACCTCATCTCCGTCTGAAATAGACAGTGACTTAGATGATGATCTGAGCGATAATGCAATTGAAGAAGATAAAGAAAAACGTCCACCTAAGTCCAAAGAAACTTGTGTAAAGAAGTCGTCGTCGTTTCCGTCTAGCCAGTATATCGGCCTTAAAGGTACAGAAAATAACCCGGGAATACATGGTACAGAATCTGAACCAGAGACTTCGAACCTTCGACTAAGTGGTTGTGAAAACGACAAAGGAAAAAATCCAGAAGCTTCGAATATGCGGTTAGGAGGTCAGGGGTTAAGGTTGTATTCTCCGTCCCTTAATGGTTCCTCCATTCTTTCACTTGCCTCTGAAACTTCTAGAAATAATCCAAGTTTGGTCAGCAGTGGACGGACTAGTAAAACAGTTTCTGATAATAGGTTTGTTTCAGTTCCTGAACCTGATTACGATGACAATGGAGCAGAAAGTGATGCCAGCTATGAAACTTGCCGTTTCAAAGACCTAAAATTATCTTCTTCGCCACTTCTGGTCCGCAAGAGTCACTCCTCAAGTCATGGTGAGCCACAACATTCAAATTCTTCCTATTTATCGCCATTTCTTTCCAATAGCCTTTCTTCAGGGTCATCATCCTTACAAGCTTTTCCCCGTAGGCACTCGTATGACCAGAGCACAACTTCAGTAAAAGATTCTTTCGGTTTTCAGACCAGTGTGGCATCAAGCAGTGAAACAAGAAGTCCTAATGCATTATTCTTGTACGAAAATAGTCCGTCAGATTGTAATCCCATTAGAGTACCAAGTCCTCCACCAAGTTTTGGATATCTATCCCACTCGGAAGGAAGTCTAGAAACCGTTTTTATGCCTGAAGTGAGATCGATACTTAAAAAAAGTGAAACTAATTCCACCAATCACGGCACCGTTGCGTCTCCCGTTCATCTTCACGGTGTACAGGAGTTTAAAAACTTGAGGGAAAAAAAGCAAGTAAAATTTAAAGCTCATGATGATGAATCTTTATTTTTGGAGTTTATAGAAGACAAAGAAAGTGGCCTTACTGAATATTGTGTGCAGTCAGAAACGCAAGGTGATACCCCAAACGTATCAACTGTCTCACCCGAAGATTTGAAGGATGTATTGTTGATAGGTGGCGCCTCAGCTGGTGACCGAAAGATATCAAATAATAAATCTGATATCACCCATAGTCTCCAGCACTCGATGGACAATCGCAGTTCGTCTTTACTAAATGAACGTGTTCTAAGTTTAACCCCCGATAGCGACAATCAATTGTCTTTCAGTGAAGGAGAGGAGCACAAGAGTTCAGCGGATTCTGGACCATGGTCAGACAGCAGTTACCTTCACGCAGTAGCTTATTCTCCTCTTCTTACAGGATTTCAAGAATTGGACCCTGGTGAGTGTAGGTTATCTTAGAACGAATGTTCCTTTTATCTTTTAAGTAATCTGTTACTAACGTTATGTATAAACGGTAAATTGGGCTTCAACGGAACCCTGTTAATTATTTTCAGACCTCGAGAGAACCTTAATTTTTTCCTCCTCCCCTTTTTAAATTGTCTATTGTTAATAAACTATAAATACCAATTTCTTTCCAACCTTTTGAAACGTACGTTTTTAGCTCTGAAAAGCAAACATTATATCCAATTTTAACAAAAAAAATAAAATGATCTTTACATGGAAGGACAGATCCTCATGATTCTGCCTTTTCAAGTTTACTGCCGTGATTTATCTTTCTAGTTTCATTGCTATTAAAGCATGTACTATTTATATGCTTCAGAAACAACAAAATATTCGACTGTATTGCCCCCCAGTGGCTCAGTGGTAAGTCTGCAGGATTACGATGCTAAAAATCGGGTTTTGATACCTGTGGAGGGCAGAGCACACGTAGCCCGTTGTGTATCTTTGCGCTTAACAACAGACTAACCAAACTGACTGTAATATAAACCGCAAGATTGTATGATGTGAGAACCAATACAGAATCTGAAACTTACAATCGTTAAAACTAACTTTCAAACTATTTATCTCAGTAGGTGTGTGTTGTGAGTTTAGGATGGCCACGAACGTGAAAGAGTCACTAAGTGTGAAAAACGGATAAAAAAAAAAAACACTCAAGGGAAAATTGAAAATTTTCCTTAAAGACTGGAAAAGCCAGCAAAATTTGTGCCCTATCTCCGAACCGATACGCATACCGAAGGCATGTTATTTGACCTATGCCGATAATTATAGGTGTATTTTAACATAATCTTGGCCCACTACTCTATATTTATTTTATATTATTATTATTATCTAATCGTAAAATATTGGTATTACCTTTTACAGCCAGATTACAAGCCTATCTATAGTGGTGTTAATTAAGCAGAGTTACGAGGAAATTTTGAAATACCAGTGTGTGTGTGTGTGTGTGTGTGTGTGTAGGTCTGCAAAAATCTGTAATTTTGCCTGAAAAGTCAGAGAAACGTGTTTGGAAAGAATGTGGCCACCGTCTTCAGTAGAAACCTAATTTAGTAATTTTATGCACAATGCTATTCTTATTTTGTTTCGAGTCCGGAAGGTCTGTGTTTCAAGTTTAATGCTGAACCCCATAGTCGGAGTTTAATTAATGATTAACACAAAGTTGTTATTAAACGAAATTTAAGTTGGGTAATTGTGCGAACAAGTTGACAACCATTTCCGTAAGCCCCCCACACAACGTGCACCCCCTAGTTTCTCTAGTTCTCTCAATAAATTTATCAGAACAAAATGTTTGTGTAAAAAATGAAGTTTCTTTATTTTAGCCTAATCTTCTATGCTGTTAAAGACAAAAGTCATGGATTGAGTATAGTCATGTTGTCAACTTTACTTCTCATTCAACTTGTTTAAATGATGTGTCTATTTATTTATAATTCCAAATCCGCGTAGTTTTGTGATTTCAGAAAAGATACGTGTTATTAAATTTGAATAAGCCTTTTTTTTAATTGCGTTTGTTATATTTTTTTATTTACTATTGTGACGAGTTTTCTTACTAGTGGCAGGTTTCTTTGGGCGTTCATGATCTTGAGACATATCACCACCACTGCCATCTGTGGTATAGAGATAGATGTAATGCAGTTATGAAAATATTGGAAATGTCCTTGGTGTACCCTTTTGGACTACATAGTGGACTATACAAATATAGTTATTCTTGTTTCTACTAATCACACTCATTCTGTGTACTGCTCATGCGCATGTTAACGTCAGTTGCATATTGAAGGTATTGGTATCCTTTCGCACTGATAGCATGTTATCCTGGCACGTAGTTGACGATAATCTTCATTAACTTTGCTGAAGATGGCATGCTGGTTACATAGATCTTCATTAACTATATGGTCTGGCATAGCCTAGTGGTTAGGGTCTGGACCCGCAATCTGCGGGTCGCAGGTTCGAATCCCCTTCGTACCGAACATGCCCTTTCAGCCGTGAGAGAGTTACATTGTGACGATCGATCCCACTATTCGTTGGTAAAAGAGTAGCTCAAGAGTTGGCGGTAGGTGGTGTTGACTGGCTGCCTTCCCTCTAGTCTATCACTACTAAATTAGGGACAGCTAGCGCAGATATTTCTCGCGTGTAGCTTTGTGCGAAATTCCAACCAAACCAAATCATCAATTATACAGAAGCTGTAATGTTGACCGCATCGTTGTCAGGCATAATTTGTGTGTGTGTTTTTTCGGCTGAATAAACGGCCAGTGAAACTGGCTACAAACATTCAGTATTTTTATGCATGGAAATCTTAGGTTCTCTGTCGTAAATGATTAAGAAAACTTACTAGCGTTATTTTACAGGATGATCCGAAATAAGCACCGTTATTTAAATCTTTTATTAACGGTGTAGTTAACACAGTGTGGATCAGACATCCACATATTACACCTTGTTTAATTAATTCCCTGATTAGTCGACCATTTAACATCCCAAGGCGTGGGAACTAATTTTCGGGAAGTTCTCCAAAGAAAGGGGGACAATGTGACCTAGCCGATGGTAACGGGTAGTGTGACGGTGGGATTTGTTACCACTTAGTATCACTTGAATGATAACTATTATAGTTTTTTGTGCTTGGTTTATCCCGTTTCGTCTTGTTAACCGGATATTAAAAACTGCCGTTAAATTTCAAACGTTTTTAAAATGACGGTGTTAAGATACATTTTAAAGAATGCAGTTGACGAGTCAGAGCCAAAATTACCGTTTAACTCTCCCCCCTTCTTCAGCCGACTCTTTATTGTACTTCCAGCAAGATCCATTCGAGAACCGCCAAATCTTGTGTATTTAAAACTATAAAAAACAACTTACAAATAAAATAAATTCAGCTTTGTAGGAGGCCTATCCCAGACTCGCATAAGAAATTGGTTGGCAAAGCACACCAGTTGGTTTGATAGATGCGCTAAAAGTGAGAAATGGCGAATCAGTTGGGGTGATAAATATATTTCTGATAAACATTTTTAAAATATTTCATATTGTACTTATTAATTGTTAAGAGTTTTCGTAAACTGAATAAAGTTTTCTCTATATTATTGGAGGCCATTTGTTAGATGTCTCCATCACATCATGCTGATTGAAAAATTGGAACTTTTAATAACCTTTTTACCTTAAATATATTATTTTCCTCTCACACACACACACTCGCACACGTGGTCGGAATTTATTGCATAAAATACTCAGTGTTCCAAACTTTCTAAGAGAGTGCCCTCTGGTTTATTTACGTAAAAGTTTAGTGCTGCCATCTATAGGTTATTTAAAACGGGGACGTACTAAGAGAAATTCAAAATAGACTTCATATTTAATAAATTCCTTCTGCATATACATGTTATTATAAACTAATGCATTGAAATAGCGAAAAGAAGCTTCAAGACTTGTTTTAGTAAAAGTTAGCAACATGAGAGAGAATTAGCTTTGAAACTATCAAGTTTCCTGAAAAATATGAAATTATTTGACACATTTAGGGATATGAAACTGTAGCGGACAACTGTAATAATTGTACTAGGGTGCTCCTATATATAGCCAAGAACCGGTAGTATAAAATAAAACAGCCCACTGATGCCTCAGGCCTTATTATATAAAAACTATAATTATTATACGTTACGGCCCACGTAGGCTGTGAATCTTACCAAAGCCGAGAAGGCCACGCAACTGCGGCTGATATACAAATGTAATGTAAGGCTAATGAATTAAAAAAAACAAAAAACTTTCATGTCAAGAGAAAGCTTGATAAGTATATGAATGATAAGATATTAAGAAATCTTTATTTTCAAGAAAAAGAGAATAAAATCGTGAAAGTTCTATAATTATTCCCACTTCTCATCGCTAGTAAACCCAATTAAAAAACAAAATGTGTAGTAGACTTGCTGCCACTTTTTACATTGATTCTAAACATTTTTATGTCCACTCGTCCGTTCCTTCAAATTGTGACGTTGAAATACTTTTTTTTGTAATAACCGTTACTTAACCAATGATTAAGAATTGTGTAAGTTATTGCTTTTGAAGCGTTCAAGTGTCTCTAGGCCTGTATTTTGTATTATCTGCGCATGTGTGAACGTCACTAGCCCTGTGGTTTGTATGATCTGCGCATGTGCGAACGTCTATAGGCCTGTTGTTTGTACGAGCTGCGCGGCCTGGCATGGCCAGATGGTTATGATGTTCGACTGGCAATCTGCGGGTCGCGGATTCGAATCCCCGTCCCACCAAACATGCTAGCGTTTTCAGTTGTGTGGGCGTTATAATGTGACTGTCAATCCCACTATTCGTTGGTAAAAGAGTAGCCTAAGAGTTGGCGGTGGGTGGTGATGACTAGCTGCCTACCCTCTAGTCATTCACTGCTAAATTAGGGATGGCTAGTGCAGACGGCTCTCGTGTAGTTTTTGCGAAATTCAAAAACCAAACGATCTGCGCATATTCGAACGTCTATAGTCTTGTGGTTTGTATGATATGCGCATGTCCGAACGTCTAAACATTACACGAGGATTTAGCCCAACGGAAGGTTTGTGCTTTTGCCATGACATGTAATAGTCAATTGTTATGAAGAAATGCTTGGTGTTGATTGTCCACATTATCCAAAACTGCCCTAGAACTTTCTCAGAGTTTAAGCCTAAAGCGTGTATAAGATAGAGCTAATTGGTAACGAAAATATAATACTTTACCAACGTTTCAGTATCACAAGTTTGATAAAGACTTAACGATAGGATGAATTGACCGTCTCTGAATCTTTAACCTAGTGACCCTTGGTAAACCTGTTTGGGTTCGAAACAAAGCGACTTACAGTTCTCTGGTGATGGAAACATAAAAAAAAACTAAGTTACCAATACATTCGTGCTTCTTACCAACTGCATGTTATGCATTGCATTAATTCAAGATTGATCCCACCCCGCAAAGAACGTACCATAAATTAATTTT